GTTCAAATATAGTATGCTTTTGTTTTAAAGTATATGTAAACCCAGTCACTTATAAAGGCTTAAAGGGTAAGTTCATCTTTTCACAAAAAATAAAAAAAGGTGAAATACCTCCAAATGTCCTGGCCAACCCTCCAGACCTCACGGCACATAGTTGCTGTGACCACACAATACATAGCCTAGAGTGAGAGTCCATCATAATTGACCACATTTCAAGCACTCATTGGTCAGCGCAACCATGTTGACCAATGAAAAATGATTCTTTCTTCTGGAACACCTTAATGGAAAAGAAACCTCAGGTGCACTTCTCATATGGAAATAAGCACCTGCCACTGTGAGCACTATGATGGATCAGCCAGAGTTTGTGTTGAACAGTTGTGTTTCTACAGAGGTTGCTAGGGGTTCTTTGAGCTATCGCTGATTGACCTCCCATCTGATGGAAAGCCCCTGTAAGCCCCTTTAGCTGAGACTATGTGACCTATTCCTAGACATCTGGTCATCTGATTGGCATCTCCATCATGATGGAGTCTTACAGCAGCAATTTTAAATTTTTTTTAGGGTATTAACTAAAGTTCACTCTCTGCCCTCATTCACACCTGAGCATTTCAAGGCGTGTTTCCATAAGTGCTTCAACACTCAACACTGGATTTCCATCTTATTTTCTTGTGCCCAATCACATCGGCGCAAGGTGTTGTCGCTCAATGCTCAAAAAGTACAGGAGCTTCTTTGAGGCATGATGGCACATTTTTGGATCCATTGACTGCATTGGAAGCACCTGAAGCAATTTTGTGTGTTTGCATTCTTACAAGCCAACACCATTTTGTAGGCAGATGGGGGCTGCAGTACATTCCTCCATTCTGTAGGTGACATTGTGCCGCTTCTCCAGGTTGAAAGGAATTGTCTCCATTTGTGGGCTCCAGCAGCCATCTTGGCAAGGACGGTTGTCCAACTGGAAGTTGATATCTCACGAGATTTGAGGCAGCCATCTTGAAGGGAAGACCTAATAAAAGAGGTGCCCCGCATCTTTTTCACATAGAGAACACTGTTGGCTGGGGACAGAATTTGTGTAATGCAGAGAGAGGTTCCTGAAGGGGCAGAATAGAGTTGCCTTAAAGTGTGTAACTACATTCTTGTATCCGGGACTGGATCCTCGGATAGCTTCTTGAAGCAGGAACCTCCACAAACAATACCATGTAGTAGTGTCACCTCCCCTCTAGTTCTACTCCAGTGTACTGTGTTATTATTATTACAGGTGCTTATATAGCACCATCACTTTATGCAGCGCTTTACACATATATATTGTACATTCCCATCAGTCCCTAATCCTCAAGGGGCATACAGTCTAAAGTCCCTAACTTACATTCATACATACCATATACATACTAGGGACAATTTAGACAGGAGCCAATTAACCTACCAGCATGTCTTTGGAGTGTGGGAGGAAACCAGAGGAAACCCACGCAGGCACATGGAGAACATGCAAACTCCAGGCAGGTGGTGCCGTGGTTGAGATTCAAACCAAAGACCCTAGTACTGCCAGGCAGAAGTGCTAACCGTTTAGCCACTGTGCTGCCCATTGATGTTGGTCAGTTGTTTTCAACCTCTCTGCTTGTATCTCTTGTATCAGTGCATTGACGATTTCAACTGACAAGATAGATACAGTATTCATAGTGTCTGTGTGGTTATTATTCTCAAATTAGGTACCCTTGTTAGGCCCCAATTACAGGCTGGCAAAGCAAGTGGCAAAAAAGCTTTGGCTATACTTCTCCTTTAACCCCTTCACGCCGGCGCCTCCCAGCCCTTTAAGGTTTCGGAAGCCGGGAGGCGGGGCGGGGTTTAGGGTCATGTGACCGCTGTGGCGCGTCGTCACGGCGGTCACATGATCAGGAAAGGTCCCGATCGAAAGAGGAGATCGGGACCTTTCCGTGAGTACCGGACATGTGTGCTGGGAATGCGCAGGGCGCACGCTTTCAGCACATATGTTCTTTTTTAATAGAACGCAAATGTGCGGCCGCTCGGCGTCTAGGCCCAGATGCAGGGAGGCCGCTCATTTGCGTTCGGCCGGCGGCGTGAAGAGGTTAAGAAGAGTTTTGTTGTAAAGGGGCAATCAATTAGCTCCTGCCTACAGGATTTCCTGATGATGACAACAGTGACCATGCCTGCATAATGTGTGTTGAAGTGACCACTAGTAACTATATATATCAGAAGCCCCTGTAACAGGGTCACAATGCAGGAGCACAATTATGAGACAGGGACAGAGTGTTGTCACCCTATAACAAGAAGTGCCTGAACAGGGAATATCATGGCAGGATCACCAAATATTTTAAAAGGGCATTACACTCATAAACAGAAATATAATATATTGCAGCTTACTAATTTTTGAATGTGGTGGCCGCATTAGTTTCATCTTTTTTAGTATTTTCTTTTTTAGATCTCTTTATACCTGGTGATCCAGCCAGTAAGTCTGTTATTTTTTTTAACTTCCTTTAGCACAAAAGTGGCAGTTAGATGGTTAAGCGATACCATTTACCAGTAGAAGGGATACTTACAATGATCAGCTTTTATTCATTTTTGTAAAACCTTTATCCCCGTGCCAAAAAAAAAAAAATATTGCTGTAACAGTTTAAAAAGTGTTAGCTTGAACTCAGCTTTAATTTGTTAGTCCATCTAAATCTGCAAGTTATCCAACAATATCATCTCCACAAATTGACAATGCTGTTATCTAAGGGTGTCTCCATTGCTCCTCTATCCAGAGCGGAGACCCCCTATAACAGGAAGTGTGTTACTGGCCGGATCATCAGGTGAAAATCAAGGAAAAAGCCTAATGTTAAGTGCACATCTGTGCGTTCCTGCGGGCCGCGTTTTGCACAGGCATGAGAGTCCATTCATTTGAATGGACTTCCGTGCCCCGGGACACGCAGGGAAGAAGTCCCTGCACTTCTCCTGAAAACGCAGCCTGCACGGGAACCTCGGCTCACAGTACGGTTGCGATTTCCAGTGCGGGCAGCGTGCCATTAGAATTGCCACATTCCTCTGTGTGCGGCTGCACAGATTTTTATGCGGATCCGCAGCGGCACCACCCGTACAGATGTGAACCAGGGGTAAGTCCTCATGCGCACTGGGCCTTTTAAAAACACCAGTAGCTTTAGCTGTATAAAGTCACATTAAAATGCAAGTTTTTCCGCATTTTTCTGAGTTCTTGCATTAGAGTTTAGCCACATTTAGCCGCGCTTGCGTTTTTTTTAACATTTTGTACACACAAAAATAAATAACATTTTGGCTAAAAAAAAAAGGTCCAAAAATGCAGTTTTTGCCGTTTTTTGCCATGTTTACAAGCGTTAGAGCATTTTTACAGCTAAAACATTCCTCTAGAATCCCAGTAGTTCTGGGGGGGTTTTTTCCAGCCAAAAAACGCTCCTGCCAAAAAAACTCTGAGTAAAGTCTATGTGTGCATGGACACATAGGATAACATGCTGGGGAGTCTACTGGCTGTAGAAAAACACCAAACACCAAAATCCAAAAAGCAGCTGTAAAAACGTCCAGTGTGCATGAGGACTAAAAAAAAGAAAACTAATGCAGCTACCACATTTAAAACTGGTAAGCTACAATATATAAAATGTTTGATTTTTGCTTTGCTGGCTGCTATTCAAAGGGGTCCCTGTGCTACTTCATCCAGAGTGGGGGCACTCTAATGCAGGAGGCGTGCTACTGGCCAGATCAACAGGTGAAAACAGTGGGGGAAAAAAAGGCCTTGAAAACTAAAACTAATGCAGCCACCAGATCTTATGATTGATAAGCTTTAGTATAGTACATATTCGGTTTGGGGTTTAATGCCGCATTAAGTGCATAGGAACCTCTGGTTGGTGTGTCCCAGGAGCTCTGCGGAGGTGTGTCCATGAAGTTATCGGTGACTTCATTGCCCATATTTGGACAAAACTTTCCTTATGGCCAGGATAAATGAATTGGAATATCTGTGACTCCAAAGGGGGCACATTTACACCTATGCTTTTTTTTTACAACACGGCAAGGTATGTACATAGGTTAGCCATTGTTTTCAACGGGACTAGTTACCTCTGAGTGGCGTGTTCGGGGCCCTTCCCTCTGAGCCCAGTGGCAGAACACCAGGGCCCAGTCGCAAGTGCGACCTTTGTGACCCTGGTAGTTCTGCTACTGGTGTGAGTAGTTTTTTTTTTGTTGTTTTTTTTATTTTTTTTAAATCATTTTTTTCTTTATTTTTTAAACATTTTTTTAAAAAATTTTTTTACAATTTCGACCTATTTTTTTTTTTTTACTAAATAGCTTCTATGAAAAGAAAAAAAAATGCTGATAACAGTTTTAGGACAGCGGTCTGTAAATGGCGGACCGCGGTCCACGAATGGCCCCAGCATCACTGCTGCCTGGACTGCCAGCCCTCAATGACAGATCCGCCGCTGAGCAGGGAGGTCATCAATGCAACATGACAACACATGTGCACCCCGCCCCTTTCAGCTCACTGTCTCTTTGGCTCCCGCTCCCTACCTGTACACAAGTGTCCAGAAAGGATCCCGGCACAGCTCCTGTCTGCCCTCAAGGTAGGGTGTAGTCTTATGGGGATACTCTGATGGGCACATTGAATGTTAAGGGGGCACAAATGGGCCCATACTGTGGAAAGGGGCACTCTGATGGGGAATATGATGTAAAGGGGCACTCTGATGGGGAATATGATGTAAAGGGGCACTCAGATAGAAAATATGATGTAAAGGGGCACTCTGATGGGGAATATGATGTAAAGGGGCACTCTGATGGGGAATATGATGTAAAGGGGCAGTCAGATGGGGAATATGATGTAAAGGGGCACTCAGATGGGGAATATGATGTAAAGGGGCAGTCATATGGGGAATATAATGTAAAGGGGCACTCAGATGGGGAATATGATGTAAAGGGGCACTCTGATGGGGAATATGATGTAAAGGGGCACTCTGATGGGGTATATGATGTAAAGGGGCAGTCAGATGGGGAATATGATGTAAAGGGGCACTATGATGGGGAATATGATGTAAAGGGGCACTCTGATGGGGTATATGATGTAAAGGGGCACTCTGATGGGGAATATGATGTAAAGGGGCACTCTGATGGGGAATATGATAGAAAGGGGTACTTTGAGTGTAAGGGGACACTCTGATGGGAATACCTGATGTAAGGTGGCAATGTGATGGGGATACCTGATGTAAGGTGGCAATGTGATGGGGATACCTGATGTAAGGTGGCAATGTGATGGGGATACCTGATGTAAAGGGGCACTCTGATGGGCACACCTGATGTGATGGGAATACATGATGCAAAGTTGCACTCTGATGGCGACACCTAATGTAAGGGGGCACACTGATGGGCACACCCTATTCGGACCTCGGCCAGAAGAAGATTTTAGTGATCGGACCTCCTTGAATTTTAATTCAATACCCCTGTTCTAGGAGCTTACAAAAATGCTAGTGTGCATGGAGCCTAAGGCTACATGCACACCAGTATTTTTTTAAGATCCTGGAAGCTGTTATCAGCATTTTTTTTTTCTGCTCGTAGACGCTAAATAGTGTTATCCTATGCGTCCATGCACACTATTTTAGGCTAGTAGCGTTTTTCAAGCACCAGCGTTTAGGAGCAAAAAAAAGTTTTTGTAGAGTTTTTGGGAGTGTTATTCCAGCAGAAAAAAAAAAAAGTTATAATCCTACACTGGGTTTTTTTTGCCTTCCTCTGGATCAACTGTGGGTATGGGATTATAACTTTTTTTTTATGGTTGAACTGGATGGACTTTTGTCTTTTTTCAGCCAGACTAACTAATGTAACCATGTAGCCCACAGCTGATCCACAGGAAGGCAAAAAAACCCAGCAAAGCATGATCCAATTTGCTCCTGCTGGGAAAAAAATCCTTCCTGATTCCCCGAGAGGCAATCAGATATTCCCTGGATCAACTTTACCTATAAATGTTAGTATCCAGTTATATTCTGTGTATCCAAGAAACAATCCAGGACTTTTCTAAAGCAATCCACTGAGCTGGCCAGAGGGAGTCTATTCCACATTTTCACAGCTCTCAATGTGAAGAAACCTTTCCATGTTTGGAGATTACATTTATTTTCCTCCAGACATAAAGAGTGCCCCCTTGTCCTCTCTGATGACCTCAGGGCGAATAGCTCTACACCAAGTTCACTATATGAACCACTGATGTATTTATACATGGAGATCATATCCCCCCTTATGTATTATACATGGAGATCATATCCCCCCTTATGTATTATACATGGAGATCATATCCCCCCTTATGTATTATACATGGAGATCATATCCCCCCTTATGTATTATACATGGAGATCATATCCCCTCTTATGTATTATACATGGAGATCATATCCCCCCTTATGTATTATACATGGAGATCATATCCCCCCCTTATGTATTATACATGGAGATCATATCCCCCCTTATGTATTATATATGGAGATCATATCCCCCTTATGTATTATACATGGAGATCATATCCCCCCTTATGTATTATACATGGAGATCATATCCCCCCTTATGTATTATATGGAGATCATATCCCCCCTTATGTATTATACATGGTGATCATATCCCCCCTTATGTATTATACATGGAGATCATATCCCCCCTTATGTATTTTACATGGAGATCATATCCCCCCTTATGTATTATACATAGAGATCATATCCCCCTTATGTATTGTACATGGAGATCATATCCCCCCTTATGTATTATACATGGAGATCATATATCCCCCCCTTATCTTATGTATTATACATGGATCCCCCCTTATCATATCCCCCCCCTTAATCTCCTCTTCTAAAGAGAGAATAAATTCAGTTCCTCTAATCTTTCCTCATAGCTGATCTCCTCCATGCCTCTTATCAGTTTGGTTGCCCTTCTCTGTACTTTCTCCAGTTCCCCAATGTTCTTTTTTGTGAATTGGTGCCCAAAACTGAACTGCATATTCCAGATGAGGTCTTACTAATGATTTGTACCGGAGGAATATGATATCTCTCTCTCTGGAGTCTATACCTCTGTTAATACAAGACAGGATTTTGCTCGCTTTAGAAACCGCAGCTTGGCATTGCATGCCATTATTAAGCTTGTGATCTACCAGAACTCCCAGATCCTTCTCCACCATTGAGTCCCCCAGTTGTACCCCCCCTAGTATGTATGATGCATGCATATTCTTAGCCCCCAAGTGCAGAACCTTACATTTATCAACATTAAACCTCATTTGCCACATAGTTGCCCAATTAAACAGTACATTGAGGTCGGCTTGTAAATTGGAGACATCCTGTAAGGACGTTATTCCACGGCACAGCTTGGTGTCATCTGCAAAGACTGAAATGGGATTTTTAATCCCAGACCCTATATCGTTTATAAATATATTAAAAAGTAAGGGTCCCAACACTGAATCTTGGGGTACACCACTGACACCCCTAGACCATTCAGAGTATGAATCATTAACCACTATTCTCTGAATGCGATTGTTTAGCCAGTTTTCAAACCATTTACATACAGATTTTTCCAAGACTGTAGACTTTACCTTACACATTAGCTGTGTGTGGGGAACTGTGTCAAACGCTTTTGCAAAATCCAAGTATACCACGTCCACCGCCATCCCTCTGTCCAAGTATACCACGTCCACTGCCACCCCTCTGTCCAAGTATACCACGTCCACCGCCATCCCTCTGCCCAAGTATACCACGTCCACCGCCACCCCTCTGTCCAAATATACCACATCCACCGCCACCTCTCTGTCCAGGTATACCATGTCCACCGCCACCCCTCTGTCCAGGTATACCACGTCCACCGCCACCCCCACTGTCCAGGTATACCACATCCAACGCCAACCCTCTGTCCAAGTATACCACGTCCACCGCCATCCCCTCTGTCCAAGTATACCACATCCACCGCCACCTCTCTGTCCAGGTATACCACGTCCACCGCCACCCCTCTGTCCAGGTATACCACGTCCACCGCCACCCCTCTGTCCAAGTATACCACGTCCACCGCCGCCACCCCTCTGTCCAGGTATACCACATCCAACGCCAACCCTCTGTCCAAGTATACCACGTCCACCGCCCGCCATCCCCTCTGTCCAAGTATACCAAGTCCACCGCCACCCCTCTGTCCAAGTATACCAAGTCCACCGCCACCCCTCTGTCCAAGTATACCACGTCCACCGCCACCCCTCTGTCCAAGTATATCACGTCCACCGCCACCCCTCTGTCCAAGTATACCACATCCACCGCCACCTCTCTGTCCAGGTATATCACGTCCACCGTCACTCCTCTGTCCAAGTATACCACATCCACCGCCACCTCTCTCTGTCCAGGTATACCACGTCCACCGCCACCCCTCTGTCCAAGTATACCACGTCCACCGCCACCCCTCTGTCCAGGTATACCACATCCAACACCAACCCTCTGTCCAAGTATACCACATCCACCGCCATCCCCTCTGTCCAAGTATACCAAGTCCACCGCCACCCCTCTGTCCAAGTATACCACGTCCACCGCCACCCCTCTGTCCAAGTATATCACGTCCACCGCCACCCCTCTGTCCAAGTATACCACATCCACCGCCACCTCTCTGTCCAGGTATACCACGTCCACCGCCACCCCTCTGTCCAGGTACCACGTACCCACCCTCTGTCCACCGCCACCCCTCTGTCCAAGTATACCACATCCAACGCCACCCTCTGTCCAAGTATACCACAGTCCACCGCCACCCCTCTGTCCAAGTATACCACGTCCTCCGCCACCCCTCTGTCCACGTCCTCCGCCATCCCCTCTGTCCAAGTACCAAGTCCACCGCCACCCCTCTGTCCAAGTATACCACGTCCACCGCCACCCCTCTGTCCAAGTATATCACGTCCACCGCCACCCCTCTGTCCAAGTATACCACATCCACCGCCACCTCTCTGTCCAGGTATATCACGTCCACCGTCACCCCTCTGTTCAAGTATACCACATCCACCGCCACCTCTCTGTCCAGGTATACCACGTCCACCGCCACCCCTCTGTCCAGGTATACCACGTCCACCGCCACCCCTCTGTCCAAGTATACCACGTCCACCGCCACCACCCCTCTGTCCAGGTATACCACATCCAACGCCATCCCCTCTATCCAAGTATACCAAGTCCACCGCCACCCCTCTGTCCAAGTATACCACGTCCACCGCCACCCCTCTGTCCAAGTATATCACGTCCACCGCCACCCCTCTGTCCAAGTATACCACATCCACCGCCACCTCTCTGTCCAGGTATATCACGTCCACCGTCACTCCTCTGTCCACGTATACCACATCCACAGCCACCCCTCTGTCCAAGTATACCACATCCACCGCCTCCCCTCTGTCCAAGTATACCACGTCCACAGCCACCCCTCTGTCCAAGTATAACACGTCCACCGCCATGCCTCTGTCCAAGTATACCACGTCCTCTGCCACCCCTCTCTCCATGTATACCACGACCTCTGCACCCCTCTGTCCAAAGTTTTGCTCACCTCCTCATGAAAAGAAATCAGATTTGTTTGACAGCTTCTGTCTTTCATGAATCCATGCCGTTGCTTAAAACACTTTTTTCCAGCAAGAACTCATTATGTGGTCTTTTATTAAACTCTCCAGTATCTTCCCAACTATAGAAGTTAAACTAACAGGTCTATAATTACTTGGTAAAGATTTTGACCCCTTTTTAAATATTGGCACCACATTGGCCTTACGCCATTCCAGTCCAGTGGTACTATGCCAGTCATTAAAGAGTCCCTAAAAATTAGAAACAATGGCTTTGAAATGACAGAGCTCAATTCTTTAAGGCCCCGTGGGTGTATGCCATCCTGCTGCAGGTGATTTATTCACCTTTTATACTGTCTAAATATTTTTGGATCATATCAATTGTGAGCCAATGTGGATCATCTGGAGCTGTGTCAATACCATGCCCATTATGGACAAGAGCTCCCCCATGCTCCTTTGTATACACAGAGCTGAAGAAGGGATTTAATAAATTTGCCTTCTCTTTGTCCCCAGTCACCCCCTCTAGATTATTTTGTAAAGGGCCTATGTGACGGGAGTGACTTTTGGGGGTGGGGGGACCCCTGTATCATCTCCCCAAATCATTATGTTTAACCCACCCTGTGCCTGTTTAAGGGTACAGGGTGTACATGTGAATGTCCCAGTATTGTTCATTTTTGTGTGTTGTCCTTTGTCTAGGCCACATGGCTGTCCATTGTCTGTTTGCCATGTGCTCCCCCCCCCCATGGTGCTGTGCCTTCCTGTCCAGCAAACTATTATGGGATGTACTATTTGTGTATTGGTGTGGGGGTTGGTCAATGTCCTTTGCCGCATGGCTGCATCCCATTGTTCTGTGTCTTGGGTTGGTTGGGGTGGTTCCCTGTAGCCCTTCCCACTGATAGGGCGGGCTGATGATGTATTTCCTGTTCCTGGTTGTGTTTCCCCGCCCTCTGTATATATTCTGTGTTTTGTGTTAAAATAAAGAGTTGGCTTTCTGTTTTAAGAGCTGGGTGCTGTCTATTTTCCTGAGGGATTTCAAGGGTGTGGTCCGTGGATGGTCTTCGGACAGGGGAAGCTGCAGGATAACGGAATATACCCAAGTGCGGTCGGGTACCGGTTCCGTTACATTGGTGGCAAGCGGTGGGATTGTGCTTCCAGCTGTAAACACATCCAAACCACCACCGGGATTCAAGAGCAGGAAAAGACGTCAGTCACCCCAGTGGAGCTATGGACCTGGCATCAGAGTTCCCAGGGCTGCTGCAGATCATCCTTGCAACATACCCCAGGACTGTGTGTACGGATCAGTACCTGGAGCTCAGGCAGCGGATTTGGGAGGTGCTTTGGAGAGGAGCGGTCCAGGCTGCAGGTATGGACAAAGGCAAGTGCTACCCAACCCCAGGGGAACGGGCCAGGGACCATCGGAAGTTACGGATGCCATTCCTGGGAGAGCAACCCCAAGAGCAATGGGTGGCTGAGTTGGACAGGCTGGTCCAGCAGGAGATACAACTGGACAATAGATATCGGGCTCTGCGCTGGTACGCAGAGCAGGAATATTTAGGGGTGTTTACAGAGTGCTCTCCTGAGGGACTTGACTTTGGTGGGCCTGGATTGCTGTGGGAGAGCCTTACAGACCTTTTTGTGTTTGGCGATAGAGGAGAACCTACTCTGAAGGAGTTACGAGAAGGCAGAGAGGCTATGTTCGGTCTCACAGGGGTCTCAGAACTTAAACCAGATCTGGAATACCTGCTGAAGAAAGAACTGGATCTAGAAAGGGCATACAGGAAGCTGCTAGGACATGTTCGGCAGCATGCCCAAGAATCAGCAGTGGAAATTCCAGAGACTGGGGATCTGATAGACCTCTCGGCTGAGGAGGAACCAGCAGTAGACCTGGCAACAGGGCCAAACAGTACTGAACTCTGCCCAACACTGGTAACGTCTCCTGAGTTCCACAAACAGGAGATGGTGAGCCCCGATCCCCAAACACCAGTTCCAGAGGCTGGGGATTTGATTAACTTTTTTACTGATGAGGAACCAGCCGGGGAGCCGCCAGCTGAAGCGCTGACAACCGGACAGAGGGTCCAGGACCTCTGCCCCATGCCTGTGGTAGTTTCAGAGGCCCAAGGTGAGAAGGGAGAGGAGGTTGTTGTCCTCCCTCCCCCACAGTCAACTAGAGTGGAAACAAACTGTTTTCCCTCCCAAGCCAGGATCTGTGCACCAGGGGGACAGTGACAGAGGAATGCCATCCCAGCAGCAGATCCACAGTCTGGGAGGGGAGGAAGTCGGCCTCCCTTCCCTACAGTTAGGCGGAACAGATGTGGGGTCCCCAGCAGAAGAGCTGGCACCAGGGCAAGGCATTGTTGATCTCTGCCCACAACAACCAGCACCGCAGGAGCTACAGCAAGAGGATGCAAGCGGCACCTCACAACAGCAGCTTGAGCTGATGTCCGTGGATGAGACTACAGCCACCACCTGGATACCCCAAGGATGCTGGGCAGTCGGCCCAGATCCCCCACAGAATGATGGAGTCAGCCCAGCCACCCTGTCTTCTCTCCAGCGGCTGAGAGAGGATTTCTGGGAGAAGGACCAGTCCGTACTTCTCCCCAGCGGCGGGTATGTTCTACGGGAGAGGCAGAGGTTGGCTGGGTGAGTAAAGCTTGGTGTGGGACAATTTGCATGGAGTACTGTGTGGGTGCTGGCATTGGGGGACTGGAGGTGCAGACTAACTTCAGAGTACATCCGTCTGGGATCTACTCCTGTGTTAGTCTCCTGCCGAAAGGGGAGATATGTGACGGGAGTGACTTTTGGGGGTGGGGGGACCCCTGTATCATCTCCCCAAATCATTATGTTTAACCCACCCTGTGCCTGTTTAAGGGTACAGGGTGTACATGTGAATGTCCCAGTATTGTGCATTTGTGTGTTGTCCTTTGTCTAGGCCACATGGCTGTCCATTGTCTGTTTGCCATGTGCTCCCCCCCATGGTGCTGTGCCTTCCTGTCCAGCAAACTATTATGGGATGTACTGTTTGTGTATTGGTGTGGGGGTTGGTCAATGTCCTTTGCCGCATGGCTGCATCCCATTGTTCTGTGTCTTGGGTTGGTTGGGGTTGTTCCCTGTAGCCCTTCCCACTGATAGGGTGGGCTGATGATGTATTTCCTGTTCCTGGTTGTGTTTCCCCGCCCTCTGTATATATTCTGTGTTTTGTGTTAAAATAAAGAGTTGGCTTTCTGTTTTAAGAGCTGGGTGCTGTCTATTTTCCTGAGGGATTTCAAGGGTGTGGTCCTTGGATGGTGTTCGGACAGGGGAAGCTGCAGGATAACGGAATATACCCAAGTGCGGTCGGGTACCGGTTCCGTTACAGCCTACATGCTCGGACCGGACCTTTTTACTATTAATATATTTGAAGAATTTTTGGGGGTTTGCCTGCTATCTTCTGCAATCTGTCATTCGTTTTCAATTTTTGCGGCCTTTGCGGTGTTAAAGGAACCCCCCCAACAGGGGCGGACTGACAACTCATTGGGCCCCCCGGGCAATAGGGAATCATGGGGCCCCTGTGTCCTTGCCCAAACTCAGAAAAGCCTATGAAAAAGGTACCAGGGGCATCTCATGGGGCCCCCTACTGACCCCGGGCCCTCGGGCAGTGCCCGAGTTTCCAAATGGTCAGTCCGCCCCTGCCCTCCAATCACTGCGAAGCCTGTACACCTTCCATATTTGGACTTTTATGTCTGACCAGGTGTTTGTTTT